GGGGGAAGGTTTCCTAGCTTTGGGTGCCACCCCTTGAACTGGGGTGTGGGGTCCCTGCCCAGGGATGCCCCCAGGGGAGATGAGATGCTGACCTGGGGACACAAATGCTGTCACCACCTCACCTCTCTTCTCTGGTTTCACCCCCAGGAGACGCTTCCCCTGGAACATCATCCTGCTGAGCATCTTCGTGAGTGGCTGAGCGGGCCTGGGGCTGGCAGGGGGGCCTGGCCGTGCCCCGGTGTTACGCCAGCTGCCCCCTCGCTCCGTGTGGCCTGGGATGCCCTTAGCCCCCGGGGAGGAGGGGGGCAGCCCCCGCACTGCTGGCATGCGCAGTGAAGGAGGGAGGTTACGTGGGGAAGGAGCGGGGGCAGCAAGGAACTGCCCCACGGACGGACGGCAGTGCCCGTCGAAGGGGCAGAACAGACCCGCATCCCCAGAGGGTAAATCTGCCCCCAGGGCTGCTGGTTGCATTGCTGAATGAACCCTTCTCCTCTCTCCTGCAGACGCTGGCCATGGGGTTCATGACGGGGACGATCGCCAGGTACTCACCGGGGATCCTGGGGCCCTTCAGGGCAGGGGCTGTGGGCACAGACCCCGAGCAGAGATGCAGAGATTGGGGCCGGCCTTTGCCTTCAACGCCCAGAGTCCAACCCATCCTGCTGTCAGGCCGGCTCAAACGAGGGGCAGTGAGGCCCCTGGACGCAGGGTCCGTGCGGTCCCTCTGCAGGATCACAGCCACGGGGCCATGGGGACGGCCTTGGGGAGTGTAAATACCCTCTGGGCAGGGGGACCCTTTTCCTGGCTCCCCCGAAGCATGGGGTGACGCTGGTGTCCTCTCTGTCCACAGCATGTACAGGACCAACGCCGTCCTCATTGCTATGCTCATCACTGCCATCGTGGCCATCATTGTCACCGTCTTCTGCTTCCAGACCAAGGTGAGGTGCAGAGGCAGGCTGTGAAGGCCTCCCCGATGTAGGGTACGGCCGGGGTTGGATGCTCGGTGCGGGGTTGCTGGGGACACTGCTGTCCCTGCAGGCTGCCCTGTGGCCCCGGTGAGCTCAGCATGGCCCTGAGCTTTCCCATGACACGTCCACCCTCCTGGCAGGTTGATTTTACATCGTGTCCTGGGCTCTTCTGCGTGCTGGGCATCGTGGTGATGGTCACCGGGATCGTCACGGCCATCGTCCTCTCTTTCAAATATGTGAGTAGAGGGGGCTGCAGAGCGCCACGAGTCACCCTTGCCTGTCTGGGCAAGCAGCTGGGTCCCCCTAGCTGTAACCCAGTGGCAGCTTGGCCCGGGGATGGCAGAGGTGGGATTGGGAGCGGGTGGTGGGTGGATCCCCTTGACCTGGGCTGGTGCCAGGAAGCAGCGTGTGGTGTCAGCGCAGAGGCAGCTTTCCCGCAGAGAGAGGGTGCGGCTTGCGGCATCTCCGGGGAAACTGGGTGCAGGCAGAGTCCCACGTGCCAGCCCAGGGGCTGGGGCAGGGCTGTGCCTTGCGGTCACCTGCTCACGGTCATCGTCTCCCCGCCTGCAGGTCCCCTGGCTCCACATGCTGTATGCGGCCATCGGAGCCATCGCCTTCACCCTGGTGAGTTGACAGCTCAGGCGCTTTCCCTCCTGGGCTGGGTCCCTCTGCGGGGTGTAGCAGGGGGCTGTGCTCCCAAAATAGTCATTCGGAGGTGGGGGGGGCTGGGACCCCCAGGAGATCACCAATATCTCTGCCTGACTCTCGCTGTGCTCTTCCCAGTTCCTAGCCTACGACACCCAGCTGGTGCTGGGGAACAGGAAGAACACGCTGAGCCCCGAGGAGTACGTCTACGGTGCCCTGACCATCTACACCGACATTGTGTATATCTTCACCTCCATACTGCAGCTTGTGGGCCGGGACTAGCCCCTGCCCTGCACCGGGCCCCCTCTTCTCCTTGCCGACCTCTGCTTCTCTCCCTCTCCTCCACAAAGCTGCTCCTCTCCCATCTTGTCCTTGCCCCAGGAGCCTGGCAGAGCAGCACGTGCCCGAGGTGGGTCGGTGTCACTGGGCTCCTGCTGGCCCCTCTGCTAGGCCCTGTAGCCCTCCCGCTGCTGCAGGCCAGCTCTGTGCCCCGCAAGGTGTCTGTCCCTGGACCAGGGTGCCCAGCTGGCCCCCAGGACAAGGGGCTGTGCTCAGTGCCGGAGCCCCCACGGTCACAGCCGGAGTCGGGGGCACAGCTCAGGCACAGGGGGGGTCCTCGGTGCCTGGGCAGGGCTGCCACCACCCCCCGATCCGCGGGTTCACTCGGCACGCGCCTGGTGCACAGTCGGAAGGAAAGGCAGAGGTCAGGGGCCTGGCATGAGGGCGAGGCTTCCCGGCGGGGCGGTGTTTCCTAAGCTTGTAAATAAGCAGCAAAACCAGTGCCTGTATGCACTATACGGCCAGTTACCGGCTCTCAGCCTGGTCCGAGATTACTCCTAATGCTTCAGCACCCCTACCTGTAGGCTGCTAAGGAAGGGGCTCCCCTTGACCCCTCCCAGTCTCTGGAGCCTGGGAGGTGGGGGGGGAACCAGCCAGCAGCATTCAGCCAGGACCCAGCCTCAGCGCCCATTCCCTGAGGACGCACTGGTGCGTTGGCAGTGCTGCTGTTACGCTGCCATGCATTAAACAGCCTTGTGCTTGCACAAGGGCAGTTGTGCGGCGGTTGCTGCCTCGGAGCTGAGGCCAGATGTGTCTGCCTGATGTGGCACCTCCCATGCAGCCACTGGAGGGGCTGGCAGCACTGGCGGGGGGGGGGGGGGGGCGGGTGCCGCCCAGGCTCCCAAGGAACATGTCAGGCCCTGGCTTTTTGCAGAGATGCTCTGGTCTGATCCAGCTTCATTCACTCAGTGCCTTAAATGTAGCTGCTCTGTGGCTGCCCCAT